CCATATCTTGTTTGTGAAGCGGAGGGGATCCTTGGTGTCAGTCCTAATTGTTTATGTGGATGATAATGTTGTCACAGGAAATGACCTAAGTGAGATTGACAGTTTGAAGAAGAATCTACACAGGGAATTTGAAATTAAGGATCTTGGAGAGCTTAAGTACTTCTTGGGCATTGAAGTTGCAAGATCAAAACATGGAATCTTCATTTCTCCGAGGAAGTATGTTTTGGATCTTCTACAAGAAACAGGGAAGCTTGGAACAAAGGCAGTTTAGTACTCCTATTGATCAGAATCACAGAATTAATGCATCAGAAGGTGAGCTGGTAAAAGACATTGAGAGATATTAGAGATTTGTGGGGCGGCTGTTGTATTTGTGTATGACAAGACCAGACATCTCCTATGCAGTGAGTGTGGTGAGTCAATACATGAATGTCCCACGAGTCCAGCATTGGGAGGCTGTTGACAGGATTCTAGCTTATTTGAAGGGACACCCAGGCAGAGGCATACTATTTGCTAATCATGGACAGCTGAAGCTAGAGGCTTATACAGATGTTGATTGGGCAGGATGCCTTGATGACAGGAGATCTACTTCAAGAGTCTACACCCTTGCTGGGGGTAATCTAGTCTCGTGGAAAAGTAAGAAACAGACAGTGGTGGCAAGATCAAGTGCAGAAGCAGAATACAGAGCCATGGCACATGGAGTTTCAAAACTTCTCTAGATCCGTTCCTTGTTAGGATAGATTGGTGTAAAGGCAAAAGAACCTTTGATGTTGTACTGTGATAATCAGGCAGCAATTAACATTGCCCATAACCCAGTTCAGCATGATCGGGCAAAGCACATTGAAGTGGATAGACACTTCATCAGAGAAAGGGTGACTTCTAGGGAAGTTTGTCTCCCATACATTGCTTCTGATTTGCAGCTTGCTGATGTTCTCACAAAAGGTGTTGCGAGAAACAAGCTGGAGCATGATCTACGCAAGTTGGGAATGTGTGACATTTACTCCCAACTTGAGGGAGAGTGTTGAGTTGGGCCAATTTCTAGTTATTGGGCCCAGTTATTTATTTCTTATTTTTAAGTTGTTAAGTTAGGAAGTTGTTGGGCTTTAGGCCCATTAGTTTATGTTTTTAAGTTGTAACTGTTCAGCTACTTAAGTAGCCGCCCTACTAAGGGCATTCTTGTAATCTCTTATTCTTTTGAGTTGAGCATATAATACAAAGCGAGGTTGGCGGCCAGAACCAATTCAATTCTGGTTGGCATCCTACTCCTTTTCTTCTCCTCTTTTATTCTCTACTGCTGAAACTCTTCACCTTCTTCTTTCTCTTCATGATGAATTTATTTAAAACTGCAATCAGTGGTTTCTACTCTTATACTTCTTCAAAGATCTTTACTCAAAGAAAGAAAGCAAAAAACTCTCTTTAAGCTCTTGGGAAGGTCTCAAACTGTCGGAGGAGAACAAATTGTGGTTAGAAAGAGAGTTTCAAGAACAAGAAGTAAAGGATGCAGTTTTTAGCATGGATGGAGATAGAGCCCTTGGCCTTGATGGTTTCCCAATTTTCTTTTACCAGATTTGTTGGAGCATCATCAGTTTGGATTTAATACATGTGTTTAATGATTTCTATCATTCATCCATTGTAAACAAAGGAAATAACTCTAATTCCATATGCTTGGTTCCCAAGAGAAAGGATACTTTAGAAGCAAAAGATTTTAGACCTATCAGTTTGATTGGGAGTGTATACAAAATTTTAGCGAAGGTTCTAGCTGAAAGATTAAAGAAAGTTTTAGGTGAAATCATCTCCCCGAATCAACTTGCATTCATCAAAAGGCGACAAATCATTGACAACATCCTAATAGCAAACGAATGTGTTGAAGAGAGGAAGCTGAATGGCAAACCAGGTGTGATTGTGAAACTCGATTTGGAAAAAGCATACGACAAAGTAGATTGGGAGTGTCTCATGGAAACAATGAGACTAATGGGATTTGGAAACAAGTGGATTTAGTGGGTTGAGGGATGTATAAGCTGGTTGAGGGATGCATAAGCTCCACCTGTTTCTCAGTTCTAATTAATGGGTAGCCAAAAGGATATTTTAACGCCAACAGAGGCCTAAGACAAGGCTGCCCCCTCTCCCCATTGCTTTTTACTCTAGTCATAGAAATTTTTAGCCAACTGGTGAATAAGACTATCTCTCTTGGACTTTTGAGAGGATTTGAAGTCGGATGGGAAGCCACCCAGATATCTCATCTCCAGTTTGTCGATGACACTATCCTTTTCTTAGAGGCTGATGAAGATTTTGTGTCAAATTTGAAAAGGGTCATCACCTGTTTTGAATGGATTTTTGGACTGCAAGTAAACTTCTCAAAGAGCAGTATTGTTGGCCTAAATCTAGCTGATGCTCATTCCTTGAATACTTTCACAAAGATCTTGGGATGTAAAGCAGAGAATCTCCCCTTCTCCTATCTGGGGATGCCTCTTGGAGGGAATCTGAGAAATCAAAGCTTTTGGGAACCAATTCTAGAAAAATGTGAGAAGAAATTAGCCACATGGAAAAGGAACTACTTGTCAAAAGGGAGGAGGCTTACTCTAGTTAGAGCATCCTTGGCAAACCTTCCCACCTATTACCTTTCTATCTTCCGCATGCCCAACAAGATAGCCATTCAGTTAGAAAAGCTTTAGAGAAACTTTATTTGGGAAGGAGGGGGGGAAAGGGGTTCTCACCTTGTGAAGTGGTTTCAGGTTAGCAAACCAAAGGAAGATGGTGGATTGGGAGTAGGTCACTTGAAAGAAAGAAACACAACTCTTCTTAGTAAATGGTTGTGGCGATTCCCTCTAGAGCCAAGTGCGCTTTGGACTACTGTAATCACTAACAAATACGGGAAGCATGCCAACGGTTGGGATAGCAAGCTTCACTTGAATCGAGTCAAAGACACCCACTCTTGGAAAGGTATAATCTCGACTTACAATATTTTCATATTCTTTATCAGATATAAGGTGGGAAAGGGCAATAGAATTAAGTTTTGGACTGACCTTTGGTGGGGTAATTCTACCTTAGCCAACTCCTTCCCTCGTCTATTCATCCTTACCTTAAACCAAGAAGCTTCCATATCCCAGGTTTTACCCCCCTCCCCCCTTATTTCAATTGGAATCTAACCCTTAGGAGACCCCTAAGGGACCTGGAACTTAGTGAAATCACTAGCTTCTTGCACACCCTAAGAGAGGTATACCTCTCACAAAATTCCCCTGACCTTCGTGTGTGGACCCTTCACCCATCAGGTTAGTTTTCAACCAAATCTTGCTTCAAGGCTGTAGTTAGGGAAGAACAAACTACTGATCAGTACCCCTACAAGAGAATCTGGTGTGCTCATATCCCTTCCAGGGTCTGTTTTTTTTTTTTTGTGTGGGAAGCCAGCTTAAAGAAAATCAACACTTATGACCTCCTTCAGAAAAAGAACCATGGAAGGTCTTATCTATCTCTTCACGTTTGTTGTTTCTGCCTTAAAGCTGGGGAATCTACCAACCATATCCTGCTCCACTGTGAGGAAATTTGAAAATTTTGGAACTTTTTTCTATCATTATTTGAATACAGCTGGGTTTTCCTAGAAAATGTGGTTGAATGCTTAGGGCAATGGTCAGGAAGAGGATTGAGCAAAAGAAGGAAAACTTTATGGAAATCTGCTGCACATGCTATTTTCTGGAGCATTTGGGAAGAGAGAAATAACCATGTGTTTACCAATAGAACAAAAAACTTTGAGGAACTGATTTCTCTAATATGTTACAATGCTTCTTGTGGACTTCCAGCTCAACTCACTTTAGAGGTGTCACCTTTGATGACCTCCAAAGAAATGTTGTAAATTTCCTTCACTCTAATCAAACACAACTCATCACTCCCCGTAGGTGAAGGCGAGACGACCTTGTACTTTGATGGGAGCGCTTTTGGAAACCCAGGTGTAGCGAGTATTGGAGGTGTAATTCGAAATAGAAATGGTATTATCAGTTGGGCTTTTAGTGGGCCGATTGGGATAGCCTCCTCAACAAAGGCCAAAGTCATGGCAGCTCTAACCGGCATCAGGATTGCAAAAGACATGGGCTTACTAAATCTTACCATTAAAGGAGATTCAGCCAACACCATTAATTGGCTTTCTAATCCTGACAGTGGGCCTTAGCTCACAACCTGGCTGAAGTGAGAGACATCCTCGCTTCTTTAAATGCCCATATGGTCTGGATTCCGAGGGAGCTAAACTCTGAAGCTGATAGTCTAGTTAAACCTGGTGCTCACAGGGATTACCTTTTTAGTGATAGTTCTCTGCCTATGTAACTTTTTGAGTGTTTATCTGTTGTGTACATCTCCTCATGTACCTCTTTTTTTCGAATAAAGTTAACCTTTTCTCAAAAAAAAAAAAACTGATCCAAAAGGCTAAAACAACTTCTATGGGGACTCCCAAAACAATTCTAACAAGTCATTACTAATCCCATTAAAACTAAATGTAAAGAAACCAGAAATTGCTAATAAAATAGTAAATAGCGATTTTACTATCAATAGCAATTACAGGAATTATTATAGATAGTAGGTCCAAAAGTTACCATAAATAGAAAATTTTGTTTTCACCAAGAATGGTAAATCTATAGAAGAATAGGAAGAAACTTCCTTTAATAGATCAAAATAACTTTGCAAAGTTTTCTTACAAACATTTAAACATAAAAGAAAACAGGGACAAGCAGCATGCAAAAAGTTTCATACACTTCTATAACAATTGAGCACACGTGTTGAATGATCTATCAAAAAAAAAAAAAATCAGCACGTGTTGAACTTACCAAAAAAGCACATGGTTTCAAAAAAAGAAAGAAATGTTGGCAACAAAAGATAATAAGATAAGTTGTTCATTGTTTATATTTTTTATCAGTAACTTTCAGTGTTTAAACATTTAGCACTTTAGCTGAATCACTGAATTTCTGAGATAAATATAACTAAACCAATACCATGAAATTACAAAATGAAGAGTACACTACCTCCAATACTTGAATGGCTGCTGAAACTGCATCAATACACCCACCAGAACCCTAAACCCGAGCAAACAAAAGAAGACAATAATTAAAGGCTGGTATACTTCAGCAGAACCATAGGAAGCATAGTACTTGTTTCAAACAGCTTCATAAAACCCACAGAACATGCTAACCTGAAGTTCTCAATACTGAATTGACTTTATCCTTTCTTGATTAATTGGTTTTGGTTAAGAATTTCCTACTGATAAAAAGATGGAATTTGTGATTTAACATAGCAACGTACAACCATCTCCTGTGCGGCATGCATCTTGCAAATAAATAAATAAAACAAAAGGAACGCCAGGAAGTTTGCAGTAGTTCTACATAACATGATAAAAAATAACCTGATCTTCTGTCAATCGGTTGTTGCATTTGCAATGGATCATGCAGTTAAGCACTTAAGCTAAAGTAATGGCATTTTTTGGAGACTCAATCACAGGAACCTCCGATAATCCGATTCTAGCAAATTTCTTGGGCTAATAAGAGATTTCCAGTGGTGAGATTTGTTGCCAGAGTTGGAGAATGGTAGGTTGTTGTAGAGTGAAAAGGAAGCTCCTAACTCTATAAGGAGTATTCTTTCCTCTTCCAGATAATAATCCTCTCAAGGAGCAGAAAAGGAGGGGTATTTATAGACCAACTTAGACGTCAATCAGACAATATAATCTTTTACAATTTGTAATAATTCTTTTACGTGACAAAGCATGAAAACTTTCAATACTAAGTGTTTTTAATCATTGTTGTCATCGTCATCCAAGCCTTATTCCAACCATATGGGGTCAGCAACATGAGTCATGTTTCATAATTCTATTCTGTTTAATGTCATATCCATTGTTAAATTATGAGCGCTTAAATCATTTCTTACTACTTCGACTCATGTCCTTTTTGGTCTACCCCTAGTCCTACCCCCTTCAACTTGCAATGGATCACTTCTTCTTATGAGGTGCTGTCAATGGTCTTCTATGCGCTTGACCAAACCATCATAGTCTACTTTCTCTCATTTTTATCACTTGTTGGAGGTACTCTTCGGTTCCTTCGAATGACTTCACTTCTGACCTAAACATTCTAGTTTTTCCACTCGTCCATCTCAGCATATGTGTTTCTTCCAAACTCATTATTTGGACATGTTTCTTGACTGCCCAACACTCCACTCCATACAACATAGCTGGCTGTACAACACTCTGCCCAACACTATGTTTTTTTTATCATCATCATCCAAGCCTTATCCCAACTACTTTTGATATCTTTTGAAGGGCTACACAACGGGGGTAGCCCATCCCCCAACCCAGGTGCAGGTGGCTGGCGGGATTTGAACCCAAGCCTCCGCTACGACCAGCAAGAGACCTTACCAACCAGCTGGTTGGCACCTTGCCTTATCCCAACTACTTTTATAATAAATAAAAATTCATTAAGAAGAAAATAGATAAAGCATACAAATTTCGGTGACAAGGCATCACCTCATATAAAGCAAAAGATCCCTTGTCCCCCCAGAAACCCAACCCCTAACTGACAAGGATCAGCGAATTCAGTCCCACCCAACTACTTGAACAAACACAGAAAAACAGCAAGCAGTACTCAATAAGATAGCCAGCCAGTTATTGATAAAAAAATACTCAAAAAGATAGCACCATGACCCAAACCAACTCAAAACAGCAGCAAGAACCTTCACCACCTTATGCAGAGATTCACCTTAATGTTTCAGATATCCTTCTAACTGAATTAACTTTGCCTCCTGAAAAAGACCTTTCTGAACTGAAAAACTGCAAAATTCCAAATCTCTAAAACCAAGCCAAAACTAAATAAAAAAGAAAACAACCTCCTCAACCACCTGTCACTACCTAATATAATCCAGACAACCAAATTAGGATGATTCTTACTATCTTTTTCTCTTTCTTCTAACTCCAGAAAAACCTTCACCACCTCAAGCACTAGTGTTTTCAGTTTCATTTAAACTTCATTTGATAACATGAAAGCCAATGGGATATTCTCAATGTTGCCAGTGTGTGGTTTTGATGTAAACCAATTCATATTAAAGTGTCCTCATTCCTCAAGTCCCAGTCTAAGGATACAAGTAAGCATTGGCTCATATAGGGCTCCTTCCTGTCAATATTGGAAAAAAAAAACAAAATTGTTAGCAAGGAAATTTATTCAAAGTTAAATGGATGGACTGGTGCCACAGCAAGTCATTGAAAACAATGACAGTCCTAAAACTGTTGTTCAATGTTAGTAGGTTAAGCAACGTTGGTATTGAAAACAATGGCAGTCTTAAACGACCAACTGTTGTTCAATGTTACCTACATAGGGGCTAACTTAATAGTTGGACATTAGTTGTTCATAAAGCTTATATGTGAGAAGAAACAACTAGAACTCTATCAACTATGATTGGCAAATTAAATTAACTAGATGCCAAATACTGCATAATGGGTATCAAGTACCAAATGCTGTAGTTCCAAGCATGTCTAGGTACGTATCAAGCACCAAGAGCCAAGCATCTAAGCAAGTCTTGGGTGTGAAGACCATCTGTAGAAAGTCTGCCAAATCACTGGCAACTAGATATGAAGCTGAAAGTGAGACATCGACACATCATAGGGTTTAAGTAAAGTTTTGATAGATTATGTGCCTTATCAGATGAGAGAAACATTATAAATCACAACGGATTATTTTCTCTTATTGCCATGTAAGCTAATACCTTGGAGTGTAAATACTAAATACCCCTCAATACCCTAAGGGAGTTCTTCTGAATCACAAAGTGTTATGTGCCTTAGGAGAACTCACCCCTAAAAGCTAGCTGTTAGAGGGAGGGAACCCATGCACATATATACCCCACAACAGCATCCCATACTATTGATGTGGGATACCTCACATTAGCATCCCATACTACCAACATGGGACAAATGGATCGTAACACAAAGCCAATTTGTATCATGTGTGAACATGTGAACAGGGGCCAAAGCTTCTTTTTCCTCTCTGCAGCTACCAATTATCTTAAATACTGGCAATAAAGATCTCATCACTGGAAACGTTTGTTCAAGCACACAAGCAACCCACCAGAAGAAACGGTAACTGTATCCATTCTCATTTCTTTTCTTTGTTTATCCCTTATTTTTTTTCTATTTCAATCTCTTATCTTCTATAATTCCTAATCCTACCTCGCCTGGATATCTAAAAAACTTCTTTTTATTTCCTATCCATTTTTAGGCCAACATTATAGGACAAATATTGTTCTCTATGGATTAGTTCTAGCCTCCTCAATACAAGAACAAAGACTTAGCAGTTCAGAAATTTCGGCATAGTACTAATCCTTGGTCAGAGCAAGCTGAAATCTGGTCTCGCACATTACTAACATTCCAGCATACATTTTTTAGAGGTAAAGAGGTAAGTTGTTAAAATTCCAGCATATATTACACGCATAATTTGTTCTTTTTGTCAATAATTTGTATTAGTAACCTCACAAGAATAAGAAGAATAGGGAGAGGAGAAAACAAGCATAACAGATTGGTTTGTCTCCGTTTCTACATTCGCATAAATGTTTTCCTCTTTTCAATAACATAGTTAGAATTGGAAACAGTAAAAAAAAAAAAAAAAGGAATCGAAGCAAGTGGCGTTAAATAGCGCTTTATAACATAATAATCAGTCTAAAAGAATAATACCAAACTAAACTAAATAAATAGTATCTCGATTGGAAGAATACCTTGCGAAGAATTGAAGCAGCTGCAAAGCAAGCTCGTTTCATGGCTACCCTGAGAGCTTTCTCGTTAGAAGGAGCGTGAAAACCTGCGCCTACATGAACTGCGACAAAGAATCTAGGGTTATGGTCTTCTTCTCCCGCCATTTTTCTTCTGTAGAGATATTAGTTTGGTTTTCAGTTGAGAGATAGCACTGTTGTGAGTTGGAGAGGGCTCGAACGCGACTAACCGGGGATTTTCTGCCCCCGTGAGACGGCAGACGACGTGAGTGAAGTGCATAGTCAACGAACGGGAGAAAATTGAACGCGATCTCCTACGTAGATGCAACTTGATGGTCCAGTTTTAACGGTCAGATTGGAATCCAATAAACACCTCTGCCAAGTCCTGTTTGACGAGGATAGCTTAGCTCGTGTGGTGAATCCAACGGTCAAGTGTCACACGTGTTGAATCAAGACCATTTGATTAAGATCCAGGTAGGCAGCTAAGAAGAAACAGGATTCAGTCGGAGCAAAGTCCATTCCAACAGCCATCATAAGTTCATAACCTAATATCTTCCCATGAAATACTGAAGCCGATCTCAGCTAAAAAGCTCACACCCGTCTAAAAACGTCAGACAGAGAGCCAGACCGGGTTCAATTCAATCAAGCAACAAAAATTTAAATGCTTGGAGAAAAAATTTACAGGCATCTCAATTCGAATTGGGCCCGGAGAGCCCATTAACCAGGCCCATCTGCTTCTCTCTTCCTGTTAGAAAAAAATGACCTGTGACAAATTAAAAGGGATAGAAGAAATGGAATTCATTGGCATCATACAGAACGTGTCCCACACTACATGATAGATATTCCTAATTCATGGGTGGGATGTGCTATGGGAATCCCATATGTAGGGAGTCAATCCAAACTCAAAGAATTGAGAACAGACCCAGATTGGATAGAAGTAATAAGGGTTGATTTGAGTGCCAATAACTTACCAACAAATAACATAACAGAATGATAAAACACGATTCATGTACCGGACATTATAAGTTGGGTTAAGGCTTAAATGATGACGACGACTTGATGATGACCTGACCTACTTCTGGGTTCCTGTTAGGGAACAGGTTTTGTTGGTCTAACCTAACATCCTAGCCTAGAATTAGCCTAGTTTGATTGGTGTTAAGTCAAAATCCTAACCAACGTTCCATCAATTTCTAATATCTTGGAGAATGGAAATCTTATGAGCAATGATGTCGGTATTACATGGAGATCTGCAAAATGGGCTAAACGACCAACACCGTTGGGACAATTCATCCAATTTACTAATTGAGCTATTTGATCACCGTTCATTTGACCTTTTGCATTAATATTGCATCCAAACCCAAAAAAAAAAAAAAAAAAGATTTTTGGACTGCAAATCCCTTCAAAAATATAATTTGCAGTCCAGTAGCCCTCCCTCCTATAAATCACATCCTGTCTGTGAATTTGACATCAATCCAAAAAACCCCAAAAAATGGAAAAGTACGGACAGACCCATTATAGAATTCTGATTTCCTACAGATCTACAGTATTTTCAAAAGGTCAATTACCCCTATTCTATGCATCAATACCCACCCATAAATTGGAATTAATTCAGAACCGACACCTACCCCAATTATACTTTAGGCCTATAAATTCTAACACTGGTCTGAATCGTCATTCTCAAAAAAAAACTGCACTTTTTATTACGTGAACATTCTTGGACTGCATATTATGCACTATAATGCAATGTTATGGCTGCGTTTAATAGGAGCTCAAATGCAGAATTAAAATTGTATTCCAGTATGGTCTTGCAGGTGTTTGGTTAAGATTTATCTAAAATTGTAAGTGAATTTGTTTTCCTAACTTTTTGCATTTGAAAATGGGTCACACACAAAGTTGGTCAATATAAGATAGACTCCACTCTTGAAATTCATGTTTGAACCGATCAGAGTTAAACACAAATACAAAATCTATTACTGCAAATCTAACCAAGTCTGCATTTATATATATATATATATACTTTTTGCACTCTTATGAAACGCAGCCTATATAGTATGAGGTATAACCCAAAAGATCAAAGAATTTTTTAGAAGTCATACCTAAGATGTACTGTATAGATTAGAAGCCTATGGCTCCACCCAATGTATGTGTATGAATTGCTGGTCTCAAACCATTAGTTCAGCGTTATGTTGTTACAAATTCCAATTAATCCCAATTATAGTAACATATATAGAGGGTAGATTCAGTTCTCACAAAATTGTGATTTTACAACCATCTTCAGCTATACATTGGAATATTTCGATATATGTATCTTTTTATTCATGGAGAGATATTCTTAATAATATATGGCTGAAAAGTGCTATGAGAATGGTATGAGCATAATTTCATGGTTTTTAAAATCTAGATCAGAAAAATCGGGAACCGGTCACCCGTTTTCTCCTAAAGCCATTGATTTTGGTCAGCAAACCGCTGAATAGGCTGATTAACCGTTTGAACCATTCAAACCATTTTGACCATTTTCCAAAATTTTTTATTTTTTGTCAGAACAAACCAGCCGTTTGGGTTGAATGGTCAAACTATTCAAACCGATAACCGGACCCCTGACCAGTTTGTTTTTAAAAACCATACATAATTTTGTGAGTACCAAATCTGATTTTCATATATCAACCAAATTACTCTGAAAAATGAATTGGACATAAAATTTAGAAATAGCAAAATTTTATTGGAAAAAAAAATCTGACCCAAATTAAAAGATATGATACGAGAAAGGATTCGACCAATCAAAACCCCCTATAAATTCTAATTAGAACTGAGTTGATTGGTTACTAATTTACTATGATACCAGTTGGTTACAGGTCTTTGCAGTATCAGGTCTTTTTGATATCATAGTCAAACCTTTTTTAATTAATTAATTCAAAATATTTTTAAAACATTTCAAGTAAAAAAAAAAAAAAACTCTCTTATAACACCTCCTAAATCTACTACCAATAAGACGTGTACAATGAAGTACCAAAATCCAATTAGAGTAAACGTGCCGGCGATAGGCTTGTATACGAAACCCAATTGGCAATTGCTGATGTTGCGTTTATTCCTTTTTGGGTTTTCGTAGCCAGTGTAGAAGCGTTTGTGATGGCTCCAGACTCCAGAGTCATATTTTCACAGTGGAGGTCTATTGTATTAATTATTCAGAGTTTTGTACGTAGTTGGACTTGGACCCATCAAACAGTGGTTCCGATCCATCGAATATTTAATACCAGAAATAGGGGGGGGGGGGCATGTTGTCTATTTTTCTGCCCATGGAAGTCCATTTTTGGAGATTTCTTCTCTAAAACTTGGACATGGGTGATCGGTGGTCCACACTCTACACTAATAACAACAACAATAATAACAGGAAAATGAAAAATACTTATATATATATATATATATCCAAAAGTGGGGGGCACGTCTTCATCAATATAAAGAATAGGAAATAGGGGAGACAACAGAATTCAAAGTCATGCCAAAATTATGCCAAACATGGAAGCACGACTTGTTCACCCCACCAGAACGAAGAGATGAATTGCGTGTTGATCCATTCTTAGGCTTAGCCAAAGCTCCTCCGTCTAAATAGAACAAACAAACATACCCTCACCGCTCGGAACTCGGAAGATTTCCACTTTTCATTACTGTATTCAATTCATCTTTCTACTCTCCACAGACTTTGACGAAACAACCAACTATTAGGTTTATTCTATTCTCTACATATAAGAAAAAGACAAAGAAAATCCATGGTTTCTCTAAACCCAAGTAATAAGTCCAACGTTCTCTTCTTATTCTTCTTCTTCGAAAGTGTGAGAGAGAGAGAATGAAAGAGAGTGAAGACCAGCTGATTCATTATAATATCTATTTTTATATAATTTTAGGTGAGGGATTCTTTCTTTTAACACACTCGGATTTGGGCTCATTCCTTCTCCCAGAAAAGATAAGGAACCAACAATAAGAAAAAAAAAAAAAGATCACGGGCTCGTTCCAGTTTCCAATGCTGTAGTTGGGATGAGTAGGAGAGTTGTCATTGTTTGCACGAGTAATTGGGCCTTAAAAAGGAGTCCGGATGTTCTGGGATCCGCTTCCAATCATAATTGAACACATTACACAGTTCACATGGGCAACCGGTTTATATGTGTAGTAAAACTACACGGCAAGTTTTCTCATTATGTTCTATGATATAATTTAAAAAAAAAAGACAAAAGTAAAATAAAAGGGAATCTCAGATTGAGTCTTCAAGAATTTGGACTCAAAGGAAAGAGGGAAACTCAACCAAACCCTAGAACTCGATGGATGCCATTAACGATTTTAAAACTCTCTTTCTTCTTCAAGTTTCAACCAAGGCCAGAAGCCATTAAAGATTGCAATTTCAGAGCAAAAGTTTTATAAATAAAGATTGGTTTTTTCTCATATTAATCTTCAATCAAGAATGGGAATCATCTGCAAATAGACTTGTGTTTTTGTCCTTAACCTTTAGGTGAAGCTACAAGTCTAATGTTGTTTGAAGCTAATGTTTTAGCTTTAGTCAAGGACGAGTTACATGCATTCTTTTGTTTTAAGGGCTAGAGAGCCAGCTATCTAGTGAAAGGACTGAGTTAGAGAGCTGCTGTTTCTCTGGGTTTTTTGTCAATATCTATATGGTGTTTAATAATGGTTTGAGATCTAACTTAAGTTGATATTGTTTGAACAATGGCTTGAAATCTTGCAGAAATTTCACGTTGTTGACAACACTTGTGTAGCTACACCTTGCTGAAATTGGGTCTTTAAGAGAGAAGAATAAGGGTTCTTCTTGCAAATACACTGATAGGGTGGCAACAAAACCTTGCTTGAGAATCTTGTTGATGGTGTCCCTGTAAATATTAAAAAAAGAATAATCATTTTTTCTTATGCCATTCATCAATAGAACTCCCTGCTTCAAAATTTTTCTAATCTTAAGTTCTTTGCTTATTTTTCACACAGATGTTTTTTTTTTTCTCCATCACCAGATAATCCAAATTACCTTCATTTATTTTTTTTAGGTTCTTTATTTTAAAATATAAAAAATAAGACACTAAGGCTATGCTCGGTTTGAAGGAAATGGTAAGGAAATGAAGGAAAAGATAGGGAAATCTATATAAGATTTGTAAAACTTTCCCTACCTTTCCATTCTTTTCCCCACTTTTTCCTTCAAACCAAACACAGCCTAAGGGAGGGCATTATCAATACCCTCTTTCCCATGTCGTGTTATCAAATGAATGG